CATGAAATGCAAGTGGAAAAGACTTAGATATTTATAGGCATTTCGAGAGGAATGTCAAACGTTTGATGATCTGTGGCATTTGATTTTCAAATTTTAAGGTAAAATCGATCGGGAAATCACCAATCATTTCGGATATCTTGGAAATCTCAAAGATAAGATCGAGGTTTTCGTGGTTTGAGGACGCACGATTGCGTGTTACGGCATGCATTAATGTGGAAGAGACATTTCGGCTGGCGCACATTTTCGAGGGTCATGATTAGGAACTGCTACGTTAATTAAGGGATTGACATGCGGCATGACGTGCAGGGGGATTCAGATTGTGCGATCGTGCGTCAACGGTTGGATGTGTGAGGTTTTTCATTATCCCGTAGTTATCTTCTGGGAATCGTTTCTTCAAGGCCGAAAATCTGCTAAAGGGTCATAGGCCAAAGTCTTCAGAAGCGAAGGGGCAATGTTTGGGCCCAAAATAATATTTTGGGCCAAACTTAGGTTCGGCCCAAAGCTTTTCCAAATATGTTATAGGTTGCCTAGTGGCCCCGGGCTGTTCAGTAGAGGTGGTTGTGTTCTATTGCAAAAAGGAGTAGTTTGGATGAGCGAATGGGTCGAAGAAGTCCCAATACGATAATGGGTCCTAATGCAAGATGGATTTTCGACCGGCATTGAATACGGCCTGAAAAAAGGGTAAGTTCAAAGTTTTAGTAAGAGTAGGATTGATCGAGAAAAAGTTGGATCAGAATAAGGAGTCTAAATCCGAATGTGGTTTCAACTCGATCTTGAGAAAGATTTGTTGCTATAAATAGAGAAAAGAGTGCATCATTCAACCCATCCTTCAATTAAACACATAATTGCCCTGCGCAAACCTCTCAAACATCTTGAGAATTTTTATTTTCTTTTTTCGCCAACACATCTTTAGTTTGGATAAACAGCACTGTGAAGGCAACCGGCAAACATCTTCAGTTTGGATAAATAGCACTGTTGCCATAGAATCAGCCGACCGATGAACACCTTCAGTTTGGATAAACAACATTGCGTTGAGGCCGATTGGTTATCTATCCAAGTCTCAATCGAGAAGGGTTTCTGAATCCTTATTGGCAGAGGTCATCTTATTAGCCTTCTCGGCGAAGTGAGGTGTTAAGAGTTACGACATTCGGCACATTGAACGTCGAGTGATTTTATGATTGGATACTCACAAGTAAGTTTCAGAGTTCGGCATTCTGACGGCCAAACCACATTTACCATTATGACATACATCACCTTTGAGTACTTATGTCTATATAGTCTAGTGTCGATTCAACGTGCTTCTACTCTCACGAATATAATCACTATGACCGAATCCAACACCGACGATTTGTGAACTTCGCAGAACTAGCAGCCTTGTATTTAGGCTCGAGAATCTGAAGGCCGATACGTGTTCTTTCCTCGGCCGCAGTCGCAAGATCAAGAAGTCGACAACACGCTCAACGCAACATCAACAAATTTTACTTCTCGGCCAAGCTTGGCTAATGAGTTGGCACACCCCATATCAACCGAATGACGTAGTTAGCTCATTAGTTACTCAGCTTGCGCACCATGTAGACTTTTTAATTTTTAGGGCCAACAATATCATAAGATCCTTGGCTTTGAATGTTTTTGGGAAACCATTGCGCACAACGTCAGTCATGGTCCTTCTGATAATCATGAGAGAGATTCTATTTTCTTTCTGCCATTTCTCATGCTTAGACCTTTGACTTGCTGTGCATCCTTTGTTGGGCAGCAGTGGTTCATCACTCCTTAGTGCCAAATCTATATCCATCACCCAAGAACAATCTCAAGGTCCTGCTTCCACTTCTTATAATTCATTCCAGTCAGTGGCTCAATGGTATTAAGATTCATGTAGCTTGGATTAACACCTTTAAAACCACAATATGCAAAGAGATTAAACTTTAGTCCTATATCCATATGTCACAGTTTCAACATCTTTGAATGTTAAAATTTATGAACAATTTTTCTTTATCACAATGCCAGTATATCCCTATGAACAAAACTGACTTTGATCATGACTATAAACCTTTGTGATTTTAAGGCCCTTGCGGTGGTCATTCCTGGTTTTAATGAAGCATTATGCCACTTAAAATTTGATATATAAACAACGGTTCATCTTTAGATGATCAGTGTATACATATCAAACTCTAGTGTAACTACTGATGTCTAAGTTTTTGAAGACATGCATATGAACACAAACAACTTTAGCTGATATATGCTTGATACATGAATTCCCTGATAACTTGTCATCAATCCATAATCTGCAGTCAAAGAAAATTGTTCTTGATGCTTTCATTTTAGGGTTAATTGGTATGTGAAAGCTTTGATACCAAATGTAAGATTAGTTTAATACATAACTGATTCACTAAAACCAAATAACCACTAGCCTGAAGAACCCTATATTTATACCTTTTCGTGCAATCCCAAGTATTCGTATCAGCTAATATAACATTAGTATAGTTTAGCCACATTCCTTATCATACACACCTTTTGGTAACTTACAAACAAAGTCATACTCGAACTTTATAACCTCAAACCTTAGATACACATATTAACAAGTGTGCAGCTTTCATGAGACTTACAGTCTCGGCCCAAAACCTTGTTCTTCGAACTCGTGTTTCGGGTTCGATTTCAATGAAACAAAACTCAAAACTAGGTTTATGGTGGTGAAGACATGCAGATAATGGTGGTTTTGATGTTCAACAAGCCGAAAGATTTGGTGATGATGGTGGTTTGTTTCATGGGAGAAAGGAAAAGCCGAGAGAGAGAGTTAGAGAGTTAAGAGAGAGTGAAGAGTTATGGGAAAGAAGAGGAAGGAGAGAAGGTTCCAGATATTTTGGGGACCAATCTGTGGATCCCACATGTCACACTACTCCAGATACAACATGTATTTCAAATGACAAATTATCAAAATGTCCTCGACGTTTAAAGGTTCGTAGAATCTTCGTTATAACTCCAAATTACATTATGTTTGCATCCATGCGCTCGTAGCGACAAGTACTACGAGGATACGCCAAGAAAATGATTCTTACGTGACACGATAAGGCGGTCAAACAAAATCAACACATTTGTCTAGAAGGGCATTATCGTATATTCACTTATTAAAATTATAAAAACCGTAAAATTGGGAACGGGTCGCTACACATCCCCTCCCCCTTAGTGTAGATGATATCGTTTGTTCAACAAAAAGAAATCAATTATTTGACAATTAATTTAATCACATTATTATGCGCGTGCAAATAACCTTTTTTTATAACCGGCATTACACATTTCTTAAGATGTTTTGAACGTGTTTGAAAATAGAGAAAATAATATTTAATGAACAACTGATTGAATCACATTATTGCTAGCTTATTGTATGACATCCTGGCCCGGGCCCCTACCATATCTCGGGCTCGACTCCTCCGTAGTACGATATTGTCCACTTTGGGCCCCGACCACGCCCTCACGGTTTTGTTTCTGGGAACTCACACGAGAACTTCCCAATGGGTCACCCATCCTGGGAATGCTCTCGCCCGAACTCGCTTAACTTCGAAGTTCCATTGGAATCCGAAGCCAGTGAGCTCCCAAAAGGCCTCGTGCTAGGTAAAGATGGAAATATATATATATATATATATATATATATATATATATATATATAAGACTTACATTATCCACTCCCCTAGGCGATGTGGGATGTTACAATTCACCCCCTTAGGGGCCCGACGTCCTCGTCGGCACACCTCCGCCCAGGGATTGGCTATGATACCAAATTGTCACATCCCGACCCAAGCCTCCACCACATCCTGGGCTTGACTCCACCGTAGCACGATATTGTCCGCCTTGGGCCCCGACCACGTCCTCACGATTTTGTTTCTAGGAACTCACACGAGAACTTCCCAGTGGGTCACTCATCTTGGGAATACTCTCATTCGAACTCCCTTAATTTTGGAGTTCCAATGGAACCCGAAGCCAGTGAGCTTCCTAAAGACCTCATGCTAGATAGAGATGATAATATACATATAAGGCTTACATGATCCACTTCCCTGGGCAATGTGAGATGTTACATATTGTGAGGTACTAATTATATATATATATATATATATATAACTGTACAAAAAATTTAATTATTAAAAAGACACTGCTAAAATGTCGAAAATTCCCTTGCCACATTTGATGTATTATTTTGCACTGCTTTTGAAGTTTTTTGTTTGAGAGGCATATTTGTCCACTTTTTTTTTTTTGGGTGAAACTTGTGACCCCAAAGAGGTTGTTGGCTTTATATATAAAGATACACACACACACACACACATATATATAAGATACAATACTATATTTATTATAGAATAAATTGTTAATTTAGTCTTTGAATTTATCATCTAAGTGAAAATTAGGCCATAAATTTTTTTTTTCAAAAAAAATAAATCCTTTGAATTATAAAAATTTACCAATTACGTCCCTAATATTAAAATTCGAAGCTACTATATTCAACTTTCTGTCAATTTAAGTCACATTAGCTACATGTGATATGCATTAAAGTAGATTGGTAATTTTTCGTAAAGAATTAATGTATAGAGTTAATTTTGGAGGGTAAATTAGACGTTAAATTTACAACCTAATGAAATGTTAAAGGGCTTATATGCGAGAAAATTACAGTATTGTACTATAAAGTATGTTAAGTGACTTAATTTGTCAAAAAACTGGATAAAATAGTTTTGAATATAATAGTAGAGATAAAATCAGTAACTTTTAATGAATTTAGGAACTTATTTAACCGGAAAAATAATTCATGAACTTAATTTTCACTCAGGTGATAGCAAACTAATCGGCACTTCATCCTTTATTATATATAATTTATAATTTATACTATATATAATATGTATTATTTGGATCAAATTCGGGAACAAATACAGATTGAACACACCTATAACCAAATCTGAAATATAATCGAATTTTCATTCCCAAATCCGTTCTATTCAGACGATATTATTTGGTTTAAGGGTATGAATTGTCATTCCAATTCGCTACAGACAGGAAAAACCCTTCCCTTCCACGACAAGTTTTATTTCCGCCGAACAAAAACCAAATCCAAACAGAAACTGAATCAGAAACGAAATGGCGCAACCAGGCCAGATGCCCGTACACCCCCAAATGCCACCCGACCCCCAAGTACCCATACCCGGATCCGAACCCGCCCATCGGACCTCCCTGAAGCGCCTCCGAGAGGACGAGTTTGCTGTGGTGTTATCCGGACAGGAGCTCCAGGAACCCGGCCCGAAGCGCCGGGCCAAGGCCCAGGACGTCCTCTTCAGAATCGTCGTTCCCTCTCGGCAGATCGGAAAAGTAATAGGGAAGGAGGGGTGCCGAATCCAGAAGATTCGCGAAGAGACCAAGGCCAATATCAAAATCGCCGACGCCATTGCTGTGTGTAGCACTCTATCGGTTTTGTTTCGTTAGGGTTTTGTCGGTTGGGTTTTTTTGATCGATTTTGTTGCTTTTTTTGCAGAGACACGAGGAACGTGTGATTATAATAAGCTCAAAGGATAGTGATGATTCGAGTAGTGATGCTGAGAAAGCGCTGCAGCAGATAGCTGGGTTGATTCTGAAGGTGATCAATGGATGTTACTTTGTGTTTTCTGGGTTGACATGGTGAAGTTTGAATTGTCAAGTCGTTGGGTTTGAATGCTTTTTCGTGTTAGTGAATTTGTAACGAAAAATGAATAATTATGTCAAATTACGGGCACTGAAGTATTTACTTTAATTTGATAGTGCAGTTAGTGTTGATTCGGAGTAATAAGAAATGGTTAAGAACGACATTTTGCGCTAAAAAGAGTATTTTTCTACCTAGACGAACTCAAATGAACAGCCTGTTAACATAGGAAAGAAGTTTTTTCACCTTAATGGTTCTTTGAACTTTGAATTCTATAAAAATGGCCTCGCTATTTAAATGTTTCGATGCATCTTAGTTTTCTATGCAGCTGTTTTCATATGTAATGAACTAATCACACAACTACCAAGCGCTAGAAGGCAGTGCGTTTATATTGTATATTCAGAGTCCTTTTGTGTCTCATCTTATTGAAGGGGTTATTATGTGTTTTCGGGTCTATGAATACGAAATGAATGATTTCTTAATGTATATTATTAACAGGAAGATGATAGTGGTACTGAGGCAGCAAAAGTTGGTGCAGGACATGTGGCTGCTAATACAATAAGACTTTTGATTGCTGGGTCACAAGCAGGTTCTTTGATTGGGATGTCTGGCCAGAATATTGAGAAATTGAGAAATTCTTCTGGTGCCACAATCACAATCCTTGCTCCAAATCAGTTGCCTTTGTGTGCGTCTGCACATGAATCTGATCGAGTTGTACAGGTAAGTCTCCACATTTTGAATTTAAAAGGGTGAAGGCTTTAGGTACTCATTCTTATATCAGACTGTTGGTTGATCTTGATAGGAAGAATGTAAAACATTACGGAACATGTTCTTGGTTTTTGCTCTAGGTAAACTGATAATCGGCATTATTGTAAATTTAGGTATCAGGTGATTTCCCTGCTGTTCTGAAGGCTCTGCAGGAGATTAGTGATCAACTAAGGTTTTGCATTGAGTTTTCTGTTTTCATTGTCTTCCTAACTGTTCTTAGTCATACTTCTATTCTGAACTGAGTTTGCATAACCGTATATTAATCCAATGTTTTTTTAGAGAAAACCCGCCCCGACAAGTGATTTCTATTAGCCCAGCCTATAACTACACAACAAGACGACCACCTCAAGTTCAACCATACATGGACCCAGCTTCAGGTTATTCCAAACTTTATATATAAAAGTAACCAAACATTACAAATGCCACATTATGCCGTTCTATCAAGTTTTAATTTTTTTCTCATAATCACATCATCCTTAGGACAACCAATCTTGCAGCTGAATATATAACCTTCGAGATGGTGATATCGGAAACACTAGTTGGTGGGTTGATTGGTAGAAACGGCTCCAACATTTCAAGGATCAGAAATGAGTCTGGAGCAACGATCAAGGTTGGTTGTGTTTTATTTGTTAAGCATATTTAATCTAATCTGCTGGCTTAAAATGTTACCCATTTGCGTCTTGCCACTACTGTATGAATTATTCTCATTTCTAGTTCTCAATCCCATCTTCACCTGTGAAATTGCTTTTTATTTGTAGGTTTATGGTGGAAAAGGTGTGCAAAAGCATAGGCAAGTTCAGTTTTGTGGTAGTGCTCAACAGGTATATCCATCTTTTACTTTTGTAATTTTAACTTTCTTGCTAATTTGTTGTAGACACCATCTAGGCGTTGGGGAAAAAGGTTCTGTTAAACCCACTTAAGCACATAATTGGCGATGAAGTGGTATATTTTTTTTTAGTTTTTCATTTGTGTGATAAAAACTCTGGAATGAAGAAAACATAAATTTTTGAAGAATACATTTTATAGAAATGTTCTCTAGAAAATTAGAAATATAGACGTTTCAGTGAATAGTTCCACCTCCAATTATTTTATAGACTGTTGCAAGAGTGCTTTCACTGCAGTTGGTGGTGTTGGGTTGACTGGTAGATGTGTAAAGGGTTTACCTGGAAACTATTGAAAATCTATAAGTTATCTTTTTCCTTTTATATTTGAAAGGAAATCCGTAAGTTAATAAATTGTTATTGACACAAAGTCACTATCTAGCGACTTCCTCCATAGAGAGTTTAGGGAGAGACTCTGCCTTCTCTATAGACTCTCCCCCAACACTTGCTATGTTGCACAGACACGGATACGGCGACACGCGACAAGGCGACATAGAAACTCTAAAAAAATGAGGACACTGATACGGCTAGGACACAACACGTCGATTAGAATATAATAACATTTATAATAAACTTTACATATATTAAAAACAGCAGTTTGAGTTCATAATATAGCAGAGTACTTGTGTTCCACGATACATAACAATTAAAATACAAACATAATACTTAGAACACAAATATAATAATTCAAACAACACAAGATTCCCGTCTCAATTATCTTCAAGTCTCGCTTTCTATTTCCTCTTGGACTTCATTGTCGTTAATAGTAAAGTCATGACCTCTAATTGGAGAGAGAGGACTGACAAGGTCGGAAAACTTTTAGATTTAGAAGTCTCAATATTTACAAAACTGCCCCAAAATGTCTTTGACATTTGCAAAAAAGCCCCTACCATGTCTTGACCATGTCCAAACTGTTGACTGTGTCCGAGGTGTGTCGGCGTGTGCAACATAGACCTCTTTGTTTCCTTGGATTGTGGTCTTCCCGTTCACCCTTTGGGGCATCCCTTCTCTCATTTTTGTGGCAGCTTCTTCACCCTCTGTGGTGGCTTCTCCGCCCTGTGTGGTGCCTGCTCCCCTGCCCCTTGTTGCACTTTTGTCTCTCCCACTCCTCTCCTTCCTCCATCAAAATCCTCCACTCCTTCAACCAGGGCTTTGCTGCCCTTTGCTCCTCTCGTCCATCCCTCACTCGTTGGGGCTTGCGCTCACCAATACTTGCCATCCTACCACTAGATCTGGAATTGCACTCATGGCTTGCCCCAAATCACTCTCCCGTATGCCAAAGCATCCCCTTGCTGCAGATCTCTCCACCACGTGCCCTCTCTTCCTCAGCTGTCTTAGCCTTACCTTGGTGCGCTGCAAATTCATGGCTTGACGGAATTTGGATCCCAGGAACATATTGTATCCACTTAGTTGACTGATTATTTGCGTGAAAATGCCCCCATTTTCGCATGGCCACTCTTTTGCTTGTCTTTTGACTTGTTTCTACGTTGGTGGTAATTTTTCAGGGGCGGCAGTGGTTGTGTGGGTGTAGGGTTTGATGTTAAGATTTTCATGTATTTTGGGCTTTAGAGACTAGGTTTTGGGGTGATGTAACTTTCCTCTTTGCTATTTGTATTTGGGCCCTTTGGAGTTGTTAAATGAAGGCCTACTGACGCTCCGTTTAGAAGATCCGATTATGGGACAGAGCGGTTCAAGACCGAAGGGGTAGAAGAAGACCTAGGAAGACTTTGGAAGAGACTCTAAGAAAAGACTTAGAGTACTTGGATCTAACAGAAGACATGACACAGAACCGAGCATATAGCCGACCCCACTTAGTGGGAAAAGGCTTTGTTGTTGTTGTTGGAGTTGTTAAATGAAATGCATTATCCTTATGTAAACAAAAAGTTAAAACTGTTGAAATGCAATCCAACTAGGAAAAACATCTATTCTGGAATTTGCATAAAATTTTTGATACCTGGAAACTATATAAAGATATTGTAATGTTGTCGTTTTACCTTCCATGTTTCAAACGAAAATCAATGTAAATAAATTGTTTTAAATCCTATATAACAGAAGGAAAAAGGGAGCGCAGGCAGGATGACTTGTTTGGAGTGCTACTTTACAATTCCCTTTATGAAATGTGCATAAAATTTGTAATTTGGAACAGTGCTGGTTGCTTGTTCGAGAAATAAGTATGCTGCAACTTTTTTTTTTTTTTTTTTTTCAACAAATGAACTTCTCATCTTTTAAATCTCTGGTTGTGTACCAGGTGGCACTCGCAAAGCAGAGGGTTGATGAGTACATATATTCTCAGCTGGTACAACAACCTGGCGCTCAACAGCCCGTGTAAGTTTCCTACTATAATGCTTTTTCCCCACCATATCCTTGGTTGTGTACTAGCAATCGGTTATTTGTTATGCACAAGTTGCTTTTTGAAAAGTCACTTGGATGTTTCTCAGCACATATCTTTAATAATTTACATACCTAGAAGTGAAAGCTACTATGCGCTGGGACTAGTGTGGCACTTCCCCAAGACGTTTTTGTCTGGTAAATTGGCAGAAACTTTGTTAATGTATGAGTGATGCCTTTAACATTAAGTTGGGGGTGTAGTTTAAGATATCTTGCATAGGATCACAATAAATTCTCTTGCATACTGATCGCTTGGCCAGTTACTGTGAAAGAGACTTTATACCCGTTATGTGGTAGAATTTATTCTAATTTAGGTGTATGTGAGTATCAGCTTTTTTTATCTGCCGGGTATGGATACTTCTTTTTAGGCAGAGAACAGTTTGTACTGGTATAACTCAAGTGAACTTTCATTTTGTCTCTTGATAATTCACTTTGGTCTTTGATATTTTATTATGATCCACTTTTCCTGTAAAATTTTGCACATGACACTTTGTTTATTGCCGTGTTAAGTCAAACGAATTTGATGCTAATTAAGCTGTTATTAGGGTAGAATAAGAATGAAAAATGGGTTCCCACCTAAAGCAGAATAACTGCAATATCTGCAAAAACAACAGAACGAATGCAACAAAAGGCGGGTAGTATCCTAGGTATTGCACACTATATATGTTGTAGGTTGGAATTCATCAGGTGAAACTTCATTTGCTACACGAGGCAGTGCGCGATTGACCCATTTATCTTTGTCAATCTGTGAGCTCCGTTCTAGGTGTTGGGTCTTAGCACTATGGTTTAAATGTCATCTTTGGGTGAATACATGTGTTAATAAGGTTTTTAGTTTTTATTTTACATCTGGGCGTTGACTGGAAGGGAGATACTATCGTGAATAAAGGGCGTTAATTCAATGCATGCAGAGCCTTCCCTGTAAGCTCTATTAAATCTTGGGATGTTCGCTCTGGAACTTGCACCTTTGATTTGCAAGTGTTCATGACAATTTGATTTGCTTGATCAAGTTTGCCGTAGAATTGTCAGAAATGACGCTGTGCATTACAGAGGATATATAGTTTTGATTACTGAGTTATTGGTTTTGTATTCCCCTCTTTTAGCCCATTTCTAATCTAAGGCTGATGCTTTGTCCTCAGTTTACAGTGAATATGAGGCAGGAAACACCGATCTCGTTCATCAATTGCTCCAATCACCACTACTGAATCAGTTCATGTTAACTGCTGACCCTCGATTCTTCATTAGCATATTTGTAAATGCGAGTCATGCAGTTGGATTGCCTATGCTCTCTGCAACAGTGATGTACCAGATATCGAAACTATCGACAATTTACAGTACTCTTGTTTGTAATGGTTGTGTGTTGCCAGATACTTGAAGATAGAAAAAAAAAAAAAACAAATCAAGGAAGTTTGGCCTGGTGAAATTTGCTTGCAGAGTGGATAATTATCACTAGAGCAAAAACAATCAATGAGAATCTTTTATTCTGCTTTCATCGACTTCTCCAATTTTTTTTTCTTTTTTGATACAATATTCGCCAAAATTATATCCCGTCCTTGTCTCTCTTGGTACAAATGTTTAATGGTATTTATTTTCATTTATAAGTGAGAGATCTCATATTCGATTCTTGTTAATGGTGAATTTGAATTACAGTATTGCTAGACTATTGTGAGGTAAAGTCATTCTCATCTGTTTTAAAAATAAAAAAAATGCAATTATATATTTCTTAATACAACATTTTTGTAATAACCTACCAACTTTTTCTTATCATCTATACTATTACTAAGAAAATACTCATTTGTCAAACGCAATGTAAAATGTCAATTATGGGTCAGGATTGGAGGACATTTTTTTTTATGCATTTTGACAGACTTTCTTAGGGCTTACTCTACAATGTATTTTAATGATCCAATCGTTCATCTTTTAGATCTGTTCTCAAAAATGGTATCTATTAAAACTCACCCTTAATTGGGAATCATGACTGTTGACTAATAATAGTCATTTTAATTTTTTTTGTAGAATTATATTTCGTTATTTTCTTCACTATAAATAAATGTCTTTAATTTCTTAGATTTATCTAATTTTTTGCAAAGATAATAGTAATGAGTTGATTAAAAATAAAAAAAAATAAAAAAAATAAAAAAGGGTTCAAATTCTTAAAAAAAAAAACTTACAGAATGGGAACCACAAAAAAGTATTAATGTATCCTCCGATTTTGACACGACAATTGCAACTTTCTCATCTTTAATAAATATGAAAAAGAAGAATAATGTAATTAAGGGCATTATAATAATGAGACATAATTTTACTCCTCCACTGCCTCTCACTCCCTCAATTTCCTCTTTCCATTAATAAAAAATAAAAAAATTAAAAAAAAAACTCCATTATTGATATTCTAATTTCTTCTTCTATAAAAAAAAAAAAAGAAGTTTAATTTAATTTTCTAATTTTCTCTAATTTATGCTTTTATATTCCTTGAGAAAAAAAACCTCTTAATAATCATAACACACATATTTAGTTTCGTCTCAATTTTGAAAACTGAAAGTTACAGGATTAGTGACACACATCCGTCATTATCTTCAAAAAACACTGCGATCTTTGTATTTTTTGCCATATTATTTTAGGTTTTCTATTGAGAAAATTTGGGAAGAAGATTGTCTCATCTATTAATTCAATCGCCACAGAAGAACGTCATGGACATCATTGTCCCATTTGTCCCATTTGTGTTTGATTTTGGTTCGTTGTTTCTCGTTGTGTTTGATTCTAGTTTCTTCCAATAATTAAGTTGCTTTTGTTGGGCCAAAATAACATATAAGGCAATCAATATTAAAAAATTGGTAGTGCATAAAATTCAACTTATGTTCCATATATATAGGAATTACCTTGGAAGTAGGGATGGTAAACGGGTCCTGACACACCCCGATCGAGATAGGAGCGTGCTGGCCGTCACACAAAGGCGACGTAGCCATGTGTACGTGCGGAAGCTAATAGAGTAGTAATATAAAAGTACGAATAATTAAAAACTAGCATACTAGTACTAGAATAAGTGCTAGTTAGTGCGATACAAATTCAGAGCAGGTCTATAGCAGTCCAAATAAAACAACAACAGTAGTACGCCCGAAGGCGACCCTACAATGTGGAGTGTCTGTCAGAACGCCGAAAAGCTCGCAAGGGAAACCACCGCAACGGCTAAGCAACTAGAACCTGGAGGGGCGCAAAACAAAAGCGTGAGTGGGCAAAAACAAAGCTCTTTGAAAACCATTTAGCAAAACACAATCTAACCCCTCACCGTAAAACCTGTATACTTCCCAGAAAAATAACATATGTACGTATGTATAGATATGCCCAAACATGCTCAAGGGTATGCCAATCATGCTCAATATATGCTATGTCAAAATCTCCTAATGATATGCAAGTGATCGGGTGTGAGTCGTATCAATCACAAAATCCTCTGGCAGCCGGAGTCACCTAACGTGACCTGTACGGCTGTATATAGAGCTCAAATATCAATCTCACAAATAAACCTACCCACAAGTCGGAACCACCTAAAGGGGTCTGTACGACAGGCCTGGGTGTAACATGTATATACGCTCTAGTGCTACGATCAGGTGAAGGCTGTGCGAATAATCGCGGGTCACCTACGAGTCGGAACCACCTAATGTGGTCTGTACGACAGGCCTATGCACCTAACTTGGATCCAAGCTGAGCGTATGGTGCGGGAGGTGAACAACACGTGAAGGACTGTGCCCTACTCTGGGCGGGAGCACTAACACCGGGGGTGCAGGTTATGAGCTCTCTAAGCATCTCTAAACACTATGTAATGCAATCGTTAATTAACGCTTACCTGGCACTTACCTATGCCTCCACAGCACCCACACATAAATATATATGACATATGCATATGTATATGTATGCCACAAATAATGCATGCAACGATGCATAAACGATAAATAATAAAGTACATGGCATAAGGCATATAACCCTTTTTAAATCAATTTCTGGGAATATAAATGTATATAGGTATATACGGAAAACAAAAGCCCACTCACTGGTATGTAGAAGGGTCGTAGCCCCCCTGTCTCGCATGTGCACGCTCGTCCTCTGGGTACGTGTCACCTAGATGCGAAACAACTATAAAAACGTTAACTTTAAAGCACATAACCCGTTTCTCGTAATAACTTCTCATACATTGCTCAAAATGGACAAATGAATATACCAACGTGCTCTACACAACCTCAGGATCACAACCATATTTTTAAAATAATTTTTGGACCCCGCACGCGCCCCCACGCGCCAGAACAGGCACGGACCTACGCGCCACCCACGCGCGGCCACGTGCCAGGCACACTGACGGTGTCAACAGACGCCGTCAGGAATATTCCGTCAACTGACGGAATATTCCGTTAAGTCTAACTGGTTCCGTTAACGGCGTTAGGAATATTCCGTCAGAATTGACGGAATATTCCGTCGCCTTCAACCTTCGATCGCCGGCAACGTCGCCGGCGCCGGAAACTGGGAAAACCTGCAACTCAGGTTTTCTCACTCATTTTTCAATCGTTTTTCGTGATTTTTGGACCAAATGAAAGCCCTAGACTAGAAGAACATGTCCCAACAAGTTTTAAGGGCTAAAACTAAGAGATTATACCTGCTCAAAAACTCCAAGTTCGGCCAACCTCGAACCAGGCCTTCCCGACGTCCAAAATCGTCCAACGAGCTACTCCGACACTCCTGGGAACCTCACCAACACAACTACAAGTTCAGAAAACCCAAAAACTTAAAGTACAAACCTTGCATGAACAGTACACAATTCGGACCACTTCGAAACGACGTGAAAATGGTAGTTTTCTTACCTGAAAATGGTACCACTAGACTCCTCTCAACTTCACGAGCTTGAAGGTGTACCTGGCTCCCTCGATCTACTAAGATTTGAGGGGATTTGGGGTTGTCCGTACTGTTTCTAAGGAGAAGGGAGGAAGAGAGCACGGGAGAGACAGAGAGAAGACGGAAGGAGAGAGAGAGACAGTGTCTGTCTGTGGGAGTGTGTGTGTGGTCCAACACATGCCACCCCACACCAAAACAATCCACAACGTGACAAAAAAAACGACTAAGGGCAAAAAGGTAATTTCACACGTGCGTTTAATAATCCCGGGACGGGATGTCACAACCTTCCCACCTTAAAAGAATTTCGTCCCGAAATTCAAATAACCAAGTAACAACCCCTAGTGGTCAAAGAACAACCGAGGATACAAATCCCTCATTCGATCTTCCGTCTCCCACGTTGCTTCCTCAACTGAATGGTTCCTCCACAAAACCTTCACTAAATTCACTGTCTTGTTCCTCAGGACCTTTTCTTTCCAATCTAGTATCGTCACCGGCTCCTCGTCGTACGTCAAATCTGGGTTAATCTCAAGCGGTTGAGGTGGTATCACATGAGATGGATCAGCAACATAGTGTCGGAGCATAGACACGTGAAAAACATTATGCACTCTAGCCAACTCCGGAGGCAACTCCAACCTGTAAGCTACCTCACCAACTCGTTCTGTGACCACGTAAGGTCCGATGTACCTAGGACTCAGTTTCCCCTTCTTTCCGAACCGCACAACACCTCTCCACGGTGAAAGCTTCAGAAATACCCAATCTCCGACCTCATATGTTCTGTCCGTAGCACGCCGATCCGCTAGACTCTTCTGCCTGTCCTGGGCTGCTTTCAGGTTAGACTTAATCACCTGAACATTTTGAGTAGTCTCCTCGACAATCTCTGGACCTACTAAGACTCTCTCGCCAACCTCTGACCAACACAACGGTGTACGACAAGCTCTGCCATACAAGGCCTCAAATGGCGCCATGCCAATGCTTGAATGAAAACTGTTGTTGTAAGCAAACTCCATCAAATCTAACCGCTGGTGCCAAGCGTCACCAAACTGCAACACCGAAGCTCGCAGCATATCCTCTAAGGTCTGAATAGTTCTCTCTGACTGCCCGTCGGTCTGTGGATGATATGCCGTACTATAAAGTAATCTCGTGCCCAAGGCTTCTTGGAAAGCTACCCAAAACTTCGATGTAAATCGTGGATCTCGATCCGAGACAATACTCACAGGGACACCGTGGTACTTCACAACCTTCGAGATGAACAACTCCACTAAACGGCTCAAAGAATACTTCTCTCTCACTGGAATAAAATGAGCCGACTTAGTGAGTCGATCAACGATCACCCAAATGCCGTCAAAGCCATTATGTGTACGCGGCAACTTGTACACAAAATCCATGGTGATATTTTCCCATTTCCACTCGGGAACTGGAAGCGGCTGCAACAACCCAAACGGCTTCTTCCTTTCTGCTTTAACTTGCTGACAAACAGCACAACTGCTCACATACTCGGCTATCTCCCTCTTCATACCCGGCCAATAATAAAATGGTCGAATGGTATGATACATTTTCGTAGCTCCTGGATGCATGGCGTAAGCCGAGATATGTGCTTCATCGAGAATTTCTTTC